TAAATTATTAAAATAAATCCTATAAATGCTATAGTCCAATAAAATCTTTCCAATTGAATGGCTTGTGTGACTATTTGCAAGTTATAAAAAAGGAAATATATTGATATAAAATAAAGATCCACGCCCTTTCGATTTCGTAGTAAGAGTTGGCGCGGGTATAATGACCCACACAGTTCAGCCGACATTTTTGAAGACTTGATAAGGCCGTTTGGGACTTATTTTTTTAGCTAATTAATCAAAAAGTTATTAAATTAATCATAAAGTCAATAATTCATACAAAAAAGTTAAAGATTCTCTTTTCTCTCTATTTTTTACACATTTTTTCGTAATTAGTCAAAAAGTCATCCCAAACATACAAGTTTTTTTTACCTACCTTTTTAGCCAAATAGTCAAAAAGTTACTAAATTAGCCTGTTCCCAAACGAGGCCTTAGGATTCGTTTGGGAACAGGCTAATTTAGTAATTTTTTGATTATTTGACTAAAATATAAGTTAAAAAAATTAGTATGTTTGGGATGACTTTTTGACTTTTTATGAAAAGAAGTGCAAAAAGTAGAAAGAAAAGAGAATTTTTGACTTTTTTGTATGGATTGTTGGCTTTTTGGCTAATTTAGTAACTTTTTGACTTTTTGGCTAAAAAGTTCGGTTACCAAAGGCCTCGTTTAGGAACAGGCTAATTTAGTAATTTTTTGGCTATTTGGTTAAAATATAAATAAAAAAAAACTAGTATGTTTGGGATGACTTTTTGGCTTTTTATGAAAAAATGTGCAAAAAGTAAAGAAAAAATAGAATTTTTGACTTTTTATTATGGGTTGTTGACTTTTTAACTTTTTTAATAACTTTTTGACTAAACGGGAGCGTTCCCAAACGAGGCCTAAGGAATAACTCATTTTGATATCATTATGAAAGTATGAACCGTTCAAAATGATAATATGATCAAATCAACAAATGATAATTTTGGTCTCATTTTGGCTGAAAGTGAACAAATTGTTCATATTATTTTTTGATCATATCATCATTTGTAATTTTGGACCAAAGTGAGCCAATGAAAATATTATAGAATTAATTTTATTTTACAAAACGGATGGTCTAGATTTAAACTCAAAATGACTTTATATTTTAAAATATAATTATATATATATAATTTGTTTATGTGTGTAGTGATATTCAATAAAATCGATTTTTTACAAAAACCATTTTTATTACTAGGCCTACAAGATGAATAATATAAATTATCGATGTGGCCTAAAAGTCTTTCATGAAAATAATTATAAAAGCTTTGTGATCCTTGGATTACACTTAAAATAAAGTACCACACATTAAATAAGGTAATTCAAAGATCATAAATCTTTCACGATCATTTTCATAAAAAAAAAATTTATGAACCCTAACTTTTTTCATTTTAAAATATGGAAAAATATGAGAAATAATAATATAGAGGAAAGCTATCCCTTACTATGCGGACACAGTATTTACCCTGCGCATTAGTACCTCCTGATCAAGCCTGAATCACTGCGAACAACGTTGTTTGGCCTGAAAGTATAGGCATAGAGAGCTTGTCAGCACAAAAAATTCCCTCTGATACCTAAATTAGGGGTTGTTTAGGATGATCTAAATAAGTGTATTTTTTGTCTTTTTACAAAAAGATGTGCAGAAAAGTAGAGAGGTGATGCGATGGAAAAAAGATAAAAAGATGAATTATATAGGAGATGTCAAACTTGGCTTTAGACTTTGTTTTTAGAAGTAAAATAGAAGGGATTCATGTGAGGAAATTAAATAAAATTGTGTTTGTTTTGATGATAGTTGATAGTGTAAGAATTGTTAAATTATTTTTATATAAAATAATATAACAAAGAAAAATATAAAAAATTAAACATTAATGTTTAAAAAAAAAATGCCCAACACGTAAAAATAAAAATAAAAAATTTTTACTCCGGCGGACTATTTTTGTAATACCACCCCTCCACCTCCTCCATCCCAATCTCCCTTCCAACCTCCGTCCTAATCCCCTTCTCCATCTCAATCTCTTTCCCAACTCTACAAACAAATATAACAATAAATAAATTTCACCTCTATCCTAATCTCATCCGACCCGCTACATCTGAAAACAAATGGCCTAGGATAAAAAACAGGGACATCTCAAGATAGTCCTCTAATTAGAATTGCATTACGTCCTCTAAGTTAAACTGTTAGACTTTTGTGGCTTCCAGCATGATGGACTCCTAGTGACTTCTACCTACTAGTAGTCTGTCTCTTAAAGATAAAGCCCATCTTTAATCACCTTGACCATGTGGGTCTCTGTGAAGCTTATCTGCTTCTAAGCCGACAATCGCGCTGAGCAAACCATCTTCCCGGTTGTTCTCCATTTGCTCAACTGTTTAGGGCTCTTTTGGGATTAGAGCAAAACGTCACGTTTTGTGGCCAGAGCAAAACGCAAAGTTGTGTTTTTTTGCTCATTTGAAAAGTGGCAAAAGTAGGTTAGAAAATTACATAAGTACCTTTAATGTTTATATCTCGTGGGTTTGAGTAAAATGTAATTTTTTTAAGTTTGGTGAGCTTCTTTTAGTCATTTTAGTATGATGTGACACCATAAATAAATATTAATTCAAAAAAAAATAATTTTTTATCAACTTTTCAAATCACTCCAAAAAAATTTGGTTAAAAACAAAAAAATTGATTTTTACTATCTTTCCAAAATACCACTTAGTCATTCCTTGCTCATTTTGGCTCAAAGGCTACCAAGATATAGACCTTGGCTTCGCATCATATTTCACCCAAATTAGATCCATTAACCTAGCATAATTTTACCCGATCATTAGGTCATTTGAGCCTACCTTGGCTCAGCGCTTGTGTGACACAATGTGGGATGCTTTTGCCCGACCCAACACTTGCTACGCTCCAAGTGTGCAAAATGTCTTCATTTTGCTAGGTCGTCTAAGTTAGGCCTTGATGGTCTTTGCCTAGCCCACACTCTGCTATACTCAAATGTGCAAAATGTCTCCATTTTACTAGGTCACTATAATTAGACAGTTTGCTAGATTGCCCTCTAGTTGGGAAACCCAATTGGAGAAAGGCCTCTCCCTATTTTTTATATCAATGTGGAGTTTAAACAAATCAAATGATTCTTGGGTACAAATTCATATTGTATTATCAAAGTACACTACAAGAATTTAAACATTTGCCGACTATTTTTGCCGACCAAAATATTTTTGGTCGCAAAAAAATGACATTTGGCGACCAAATATTAATTAGTCGCGAATGATTAATATTTTTGGCGACCAAATATGAGTTGGTCGCAGAAGGTCACATTTTGGCGACCAAAAATGAGTTAGTCGCAGAAATTGGTATGCTTTTCGCGACCAACTACAAATTTGGTCGCGGAAGGTTACATTTTGGCGACCAAAAAAATTTAGTCACCAAATTTGTATTTTTAGCGACTAATATTTTAGTCGCCGTTGATTGAGATTTAGCGACTAAAAAAATTTGTTGCCGAAGGTACTTTTTTGCGACTAATATGGTGTTTTGGTCGCGAAAAGTTTGGGAGGGAAATTTGAAACATGGAGGGGGGAAATGAAAATTTTTTGCGACAAAAAAAATGATTTTCTCCAATCCACCAATCTGGCGGACGGATGGCGGATTGGAGTTTTCGTGGCCGCAACCGACCGTCGCCCACCTCTAGTTTCCAATATTCAACCGCCTTTTGTATTTGTTTGGATCTACTATCTATTTGTTTGGATCTGCTATCTATTGAAATTGGCCTCTCTCCAAATCAAACCCATTTTTCTCTCTCCTTTATCTTTCAAATAAGTTACAGCACATTCTCTTCTGCTTCTCCATCACCATTATTTTCTCTCTCCTCGCTTCCCTAACTCGCTATCCTTCCTCCGCCGCCGGACCATCTGGTTCAGATCCATCGTCTCCCTCTCCACCGGCGCCGCCAAAGAGGTCGCCGACGAGCTTGGCTTCTTCAAGTCGGCCGGAGCCTCCTCCAGAGACGTTGTTGCTGATCTCCTCGGGATTCTTCTCGCTGTGCTCATTCTTTCTCTCACCAAATCACTCTCTCTGCGGATCAAACCCGATCAATCGGGTCAAATTCGAGGGGTCGAGATAGTTTGATCGATGGCTTGGGTTCCAGTTTGTGCAATCGAGCATTTTGGAGTGATCAGGTTAGTCTGTATACAGTTGTCTGTTTGGTTTATGAGAAGATGATATACAAACAGAATTTGCTTACAAAAGTGAAGATTTGAAACTTGAAATAGGATCTATTGAATTTAATTACATAATAGGAACAACTCATTACTTATATCAGTTTGTTTTTAAATTTGTTTGTACAGCATTACTCCCCAAAAAAAAATGAACCTTGGAATTGCTATTGGATTCAAAATTTTCATTTTCAAGCTAATTTCAAGTAAAAAAAATGAATGGCTATTGGAATGAATTAGCCATTAATTTTCAATAGCAATTTCAGTAGAAGAAATGAAAAAAGGGCTATTGGATTCAAAATTTTCATTTTTCAGATTACATCAGTTTGTTTAGTAAGTTCGTCTATTGATTTAGAAATTAGCTTGGGGTTTTGCATGTTCTCTTCAACTTATTCTACTATTTATAAATAAGTTCATTGGTTTTGAAATCAAATTACTCTAAAAGAAAGAATTCCAAAAGAAAAATCACAAAGGAAATGAGCAAAACTTAATGTGGTTGAAAAAATAATCTGATAGAATTAATTCATATATATTGTCTGGTGATTGCAGCAGGCAAGCCATGGAAAAATATCGAAGGAGCTGGTTAATCGGCTAATGAGTATTCTTGGTCACATGATGCAGTTTAGGACATTAAAGGTATCTCTTTTGAATGAGAATAATTTATTAATAACTGTTGCTTCATTTTCTTGTTGATGTTAACTCGCTCCCAAGGTTAGTTTATTTAGCTGGGTGAAGGCTTGGGTAGTGATCATGATAGTTAGCATGAAGAAAATAGGGAGTTTCTTTGAAAATCTGTTAGGATGGTTCCTATGGATGGCTTTGAACGTTTCGCCCAGGGGCATTTAATTACTCTGTTCTCAGCCACGAATTACTGTGGTATGTTCTGGCCCTGACATCCTTACAAAAAGCTTCCGAGTTTTTAGCATGACTAGTGATTTAGCATATTTAAACATGGTTTTATTTGTTTCTTTAGGTACCGCAAATAATGCAGGGGCAATCTTAGTTTTGGGTAGAGATCTTGTAGTAGTTCCGAAACTCATTCATCCATTGCCACCAGCAATTTCTTCACCAGAAACGTCACCTGAACGCCATATAGAAGATACATGGATGCAGGTGCTGATATATTCTAATAATAATTTTTGGGTTAATTACACAAATGGTCCCCAAATATGCATTCCGTTCCACTTTGGTCCCCAAAATTTTAGTCCCTAGTATTAGCACCATTCAAAATCAGTAACAGATCACATACTTCTGGTACTAAAGCGTAACAAAACATATACTTCGAAGACCATTAGTGTGATTTTGTCTCCAACTTCTTGTGGGATTGATGTTGTATTGTGTTTTTTTTACGAGATTAGGAGCTTAATGCAAATAGGCCACCGACACCAACTCGAGGCCGTCCTCAACTTGCTAACGACCGGGGTTCTCTTGCTTGGATATAGTCTTTAGATCGTTCTGCATTCTCTTTGTAACTCATTTCAGGCTCATGCTGTCACCTGGGATTTCTGGTGTTCTGTATAGAGCATGAGGCCACATGGAGGTTTTTTCCAAGGCTTTTGGAGAGTTTGGTGTCCAACACATAACATGAAGACACCTGTTAGTAAACCAAGTTGATGGCGGCAGTTGCTAGCCATTTGAGTTGCTCTCCAAAAGTTGCCCTTTGTCGATTGATATCCACAGGCAGGTAGAAGTTGCCCTTTGTACATTGGTTGTTTCTCTTGTTGGATGAGTAGTGCTGGGTAATTTTCTGATTAGTTTTTATTTATTCCTCGTTTTTAGGATGTATTATTTTTGGTTTTTGTTTTTCGTTGAGAGGACGCTGGAGGTCCCTCCCTATACGGTGATTTGGGGTGAGATATGTAATGTTTAAAATATTTTCTTGGGGCATTATTCATATGTATCATAGAGGCATTGCTTTGTGTAATTGGTGCTTTTGTGCTTTGTACAATGTAACTTAATTTGTGTGAATGTATGAAACTTTCTGGTCTGAGGCACAAAGTGTGCTAGTTTGTTTTTGTTTTTCCCTTCAGTTTGTCTTTATGATTTTTTTTCTCTCCTAAAAATGGTCTTCAAAGCTTTGCATTTTAGCAAGTGAATGATGAAATCCTTCTCACTCGGACCATCGATGAATTTGCAGGAGTCATTGGATTTCTTAATTCTGATTTCCCAAATGTTTTACTTTTCCCCGAGAGGGATCTAAAATGACAAATATATGGAGTTTTACATGTCCAAAATTAAAGAGCTGTCGTTTGGTTTCTAGGTCTAAAAATTTGCATCATCAATAATGTCATGAATTACGCCTAATCTGTCATTGTCAAAGTACATCTGTATTTATGTGGTACAAAAACCATAGTGTTTGCCTGCCTTGTTGATAGATTGTGACCATGGAATTTTGTAGACCTCCATGTAAAAGAAATCATGCGGCTGTAGATTTGAATCCCTGACATCGTTAGGAAGCTTGAGATGATGGTTTTACAGTTCCTTAACTGAAAAGCTGTTAATAGTAACCTAAATTAGAGGTCATTTCAGGAGTAAGACAAATTGTGAAATTTCTGGGGTTTCTATGTCACATTGTACACATAAACCAAACCAAACCAAGCCTTATGTCCTATCAAATCGGCGGCTACATATCATGTCACATTGTGCACATCAACCTCCAAAATAAGCGAAAGCGTCATCTTAAAGTACTTGTCTGGTTCTGGGTCATAATTATATGTTGATAGAATATGTGAAATTTGGTTGTCTTATTATGTGTCCATAAATTGGAGATCTATGTTACTATTGTCCCAAAATTGATAGTGTTTTTTTAATGCTTTGTTGCATATTCTTGTCTCTGGGGAGGAAGGTTTGTTTATTCCGTTACTAATTTGTATAGCATTTTGGATGATACTGTTATGCTAGAAATAATTGTTGTTTATTGTCATGTCTCCATGGGCATTCCCATGGAACTACATTTTTCTATTGCTCTTACAGGTCTACTGTCTGCGTATTATGTTTTTTTCTTTAATGAAAGTGATTACTTCTGTTTGGCCTTTTTAAAGCATTTTCTAGGTCCTTCAGTGAGATTATGCAATTACTAGCAATTTTTTTCCCACCCTTTTATCATGATGCTAATTTCATGTATGACTATCAGATATATCGATTATCTCTTCTTAGGAGACTATGTGGAAGTTGAAAGTTTTATTCAATAAGTGATTATTAACTTTATAAAATTGATGCATTCTCCTTGGGGCAACAGAAACACCATTATTAACTTTCATGTTTTCAACCTCTATGCTATTTTTTTTTTTGTGACTGGTAATGTTGCCACAAAAGGGTAGTGATGAGGTTGCAAACACTCTTATACTGCCAGCTTTCTTCTAGTATTTGAGGTCCTTTTTCCTGTTTGGTATGTAAGTGATTTATGCTTTTTATTTTCCCCAGTTGCCAAGATCACATCTGAGGCAGGTGCACAATGAATTTCATGAAAATGCCTTGCAGGTATGGACTATGAAACTTTTGTAAATTGTCTTGTTTTTCTTTTGACATATGCTTTATCACATGTTCTCTTGAAAAAGTGTGTACATGTTAATGAGGGTAGAGTCCAATTATAAATTAATTCTAGTTCAGATATTTCTGCAGTGTCAAGAATATACCTTTGTAAATTCACAAAGGATTATTGGCTGAGACCTGACAGATTATTAAGAATAAAACTCTATGTCAACTTCCCATCTCTTCTATGTTTTTGACAGCCTATCATTGTCTCACTTGGGCCTATTAGTGTCATGTTTTGGTCCTATAATCTATTACCGGTTACTTGGAGAAGGTGAGCCACCAGATTAGGTGTAAGATGTTATTAAGATGTTATCATTACGCCCTGGACAATTAGGCACCAACCATAATTGTGACAACTGAATTATATAAAGGTTCAATCCTTCATCTACTTTTCAGGTTGGGACTCGTCTAATTGAATTACTGTTGCAAACTGCCTATATACAGCCTCGGGCTGATCAGTTAGCTGATGGTCCACCTGATATTCGACCTGCGTTTGTACACTCATTAAAAACTGTAGTGAAAGAAAAGTAAATATCCATTTTTCATTGCTTTATTGATAGACAAACTTCCTGCTAGTCTTCAACACTTCATATTGTGGTTTTTGTGTTTTTTATTCAACAGGAACATCGACAAAAGATATGGTGTCATTGAATGTGATCCACTAGTTCGCAAGGGCCTCGAAAGAACTGTAAGTAAATCCATGAGTTTATTTTCTTCTTCTTTAAGATCTGCATTCTAAAGAAGCCTGATTGCTAATAAGCTACTTGTGTATGAGTTTGTGGGTTTCCATGTCATTTGCCAATTATTTCTATCCACTTATTTGGTACTACTCCATCATAACTTCCTGAGTAACCAAACTCGATCCATTTATTAGTACCACCTGTTCCCTGACTACCTGAAGTGACAGTCCAGAGATATTAAGTACTTGAAAACTTAGGAAAAGAAGGCTCATATGCTATGTTGGCACTTTAAATTTGGGGTGTTGCGAACACGTTCGCTCTGCTATGATAGGACTTGAACCCACTCTCTTATGCTTGATAGGTTGTTTTGTTCACTTCACCAATCAATCAACAATCCCATAAGCTTTTAATAACTGTATAAGAAGCTGAGACCAGTAGTTATGATTCGTTAAATATTCATTGCTTTTACGAAATTTAGCAACAGTTACAAACAAAGTAAATGGAGAAATATAGCCAGAGAAATGTCATCTTTCATTTCATTGGAGCTAAGAAAAAATTTGTTTCCTGTTTTGTTGCCTATCTCTGGCTTCTCTGATGGATTTTTTTCATTCAGTTGGGAGCAACTGCTGTCAATTTGGTTGCTGGAGAAAAACCTGCTGATGTTTACTCAGGAATAGCTGCTAGGTAAGTAGCTTTTTCACAATGCAAGAAGCTTATATCTTTTCGTTCAGGTTTTATAGATATTAACAGAGTTAAATCACCTCAGTTGACAATTGCATGTTAAAAAATGCCATATTTGCCACGTAGAGTTCTAGATATAATGAGGAAAGATGCTCAGAAAGATCCTGAAGTATTTCCAGATGCACTGTGTGCAAGGCTTTTAATCAATCAGGTTGGAACCACTACCACATCTACTATGACTACTAATCATTATTAGTAAAGTAAATTACATTGACCTCCTTGAGGTTTCCAGCCATTTCCTTGTGTTTTTGAAATATGCCCTCTCTTACTTACATCTAACATAACATTATGTGTATACCTTCCCCCTGTTGACATACCATCAATGAGAATGATGGAAAAAGATAATGTCATCACTTTGTTAATTTGTAATGCCAATTTTATCCTTATTTAGTCAATGCAAGCAGACATTGTCAGTTATACCCACACCACTTGTCAAAGGAAAATATGATACCACTACCAAATTCATTTATGCCACATCCCATGACAAAAAGAAAAAGAAAAAGAAGTTTAATTTAATTGAGCATCTCTCTCTCTCTCTCATTTGAAACCCAACTATAGTGATTGAACCCAAACACCATAATCCACCACCCCGACACTAAGAGAGATAGAGAGCAAGGTTGAAGAAAGCAACATAAACCTTGCTTTGTGACGAGTTGCTTGTTTCTCTCTCTTATTTTTGTCTTTTATTTTTTTTGGTTTGGTTTTGGTTTTTTGATTACTTCTTTCTCTATATTGCTCTTATCATCACTGAATCTAGCTGATCAATAAACTTCCACCAACCAAACAGTAAAAGCACATTTTGTGTTAAGGGCTGTTAACCGACCATTATGATAGGGGAGGTTTGTGTAATTTGGGAAACCTGAGAGACGCTATTTGTATTCATTTAATACGTTACAGGTTAGTGGGAACAATACTTATTAGGGTCCACAAGACCCAACAGGAAGTACTCTCTAAACCAAAAGAACAAAGATCTCAGCATTGATTTCTTTGACTTTGTGAGTGGGAAGCACCACCCATTCCTTTCCCTCAACCAAATAAGACAAATAGATGCCACATCCCAAACAGCTTGAACTCTTCTCTGGGAGCAATCCTTACTCCGAATGCCCAACATATTAGACACTGTCATTTACTTAGTATGCTATTTTTATTTAATTAAATAAAACTGGTAATATTCTTCACTGTGCTTTTCTCGCTGCACATTGACATCTTTCTTAATTATCCCAATAGTTAGTTATTTTCTATGAGTGACGTTGGACTGATAAGTGGCAATAATCTAGGTGGACAAGAAATTAGTGAAGCAGACAGTGATGACATCAGTGTATGGTGTAACTTACATTTGTGCTCGGGATCAGATCAAGAGAAGGTTGAAGGAACGTAATGCCATCGCAGATGATACAGAGCTCTTTGGTGCAGCCTGTTATGCTGCAAGAGTAAGGGCAGGATCATTGATAGTTCTTCAATCTTGCATCTATTTATAGAGCATAACATTTGCTTCATGGAATAGTCTTTTGTATGCAATGCATTTTGTGTATATTAACATCAGACTGGGCCAAGCATGGACACAGACAGGTGACATGACCCTGACAAGACGACATGGAAATTTTCAAAAAATGCTAGCGCTTGTGCAAAATATATAATTTTGTATATTTATTATATCACATATAAGAATAAAGAATTATTAAATGTCATATATATGATTAAATAATTCAAAGATAATAATTTTTAAAGTCTGAAAGAGGAGAATAGGTGTAAATTGATGCTTTTTTTACCTTTTGTCTTTGGATTTCATGTTGTTTTATTCATGGTTATAATGTGTTTCAAGTGTGTTTCTCAGGTGTATGAAACACTTCCAAATATAGAAATTTTTTGAAATAGTCGGACATGTTTGGACGTGTGTCTAACAAGTGTCGTGTCGTGTCGTGTCGTGTCGTGTCGTGTCAAAACCTTCTTAAAAGTGTCCATGCTCAACAATTTTTTGTGGGATCCTTGTTTTCTCAAGTCTTCTGTCTCATGGATTCACACATGCCAGATATCAATTTTAAGTAGCCAATAAAACAAGAAAGTCACAAGTCCTCATGTTACGAAAAATTTAAATAGACTATAACTTGGACTGTAGCAGGGGCAGGTTGCTAATTTGATGCATCATGTATCCCATGCATAATAGCATGGGAGGTTTTTCTTTTCCAATGTCAGTCCAATAAAGACAACTCATATTTACGTGGATTCATTCATTTAGCTTTAACTTCATCGTAAGAATATTCTTCTTTTCTGGTTAAGCAGATCACATTGACTGCATTGGGAGAGATGTTTCAAGCTGCTCGTAGTATCATGGGCTGGCTCGGTGACTGTGCAAAGGTGGTACCATATCCTCTATAATCACTTTTGATTGCTGTAATAACATGTTAAATATACATCAGTACATGGCAATTATTCTGAAGGAATTAGATGATTTGCAAGAATTTCTTGGCCCTTTTTTTGTTTCCTTAACACTAGTTAGGGGTGTCATATATTTTCATTCATGTATTTGAGTTGAGATTTTTTATTTTAAAGGAGAGAACAATTGGGTTATCAACGAATTAAAAACTTGGAGTCCTATTGGTTTAAGTAATATTTGGTGAATCTACATTTATAGGTATGGGACCTGATGTTTTGTTGATAAGCAGGTAGATCATCTATATAGCAATTAGCAATTAGTCTATATAGCAATTGTTGATAAGCAGGCATATGCCTCGGGAAGGATAGCCAGGGTAATAAGGCTCCCATAGCTCTGTTCACCTTGCTTACTCAAATGTAAGTAAAAAAAGCTTTGGATTTCTAAGATCACCCAGTTCCATAAAGAAATGAACATGAGAAAAAGAGCACTTCACACATCAAATGTCATACAGTTGCTCAATAATTGTTCTAGTTTCATTAATAAATGCATTCTAATGTAGAAGCAACAAGCTGTTGATTCGTGTGGAATGACTTATCACCGTGATAAAATCTAAATTTATTTGCTTGGTAATTATATTTGATTTCATTAATTGTTTAGCCACGATGCGTTACGCTTGGGCGGTACAGGTGCTTCAGTGTCTAGAAGGAAATTTTATTGACATTTATGTTTGGCATTTTGACAGGGAAATGATATGCATACGACAAAGTTGCTAAACATTTGAAGTGGCTAAAACAATATCGATGGGGCCATCATTGAAAAGTGGATCAAAAGTTGGGAAAAGTGGATCAAAAGTTCACGAACCAGACCAGCACCCTCCCCAACATATTTCTTAACAAGTTCACGAAGCTAAATTGTACAAGACTACTTGGCAGTATGAGCATTTTTGGGAGGATTAAATATTTTTGGATGGATGTGTATGGATAACAAATATTAGTAGTTTTATTTGTTGATAGCTGCGCATAGATAACAAATAGTTATGTTTCAAATTGTTATGCTAGATGGATGTGACTTGTGAATGAAAACTTAGAATAGTTGTATTGTGTCGAATGTTAATGAATTATGTATTGTGTCAAATGTTAATGATTCAGTTAATTTGAATGATGCTTTAAAATTATAGGTTTGTTATGGATTGAATGAATTATTGGGAATTATAGGTGTATTGTTTTCCTGCTTTGGCAACCAATTTATTAGTCGCGACATCCAAAATAATTTTTTTTCGCAAAAAATGACAATTGTCGACCAAGAGTCTTGGTCGCAAAAAATACATCTATTGCCGACCAAAACAGCTCTTGGTCGTGGAAACTCACTTTTGCCGACCAAAAGTTTTGGTCGCGAAAAGTAACAAATGGCAACCAAATTTTTTGGTCGCGAAATATCATAATTGGCGACCAAAATATTTGGTCGCGAAAAGTAATAAATGGCGACCAATTTTTTTGGTCGCGAAATATCATAATTGGCGACCAAAATATTTGGTCGCGAAAAACTAAAAATTTAGTCGCGAAATCCAACTTTTGCCGACCAACCACAATTTTGGTCGCGAATTACTTTTGCCGACCCTCAATTGGCGACCAAAGTAGCAACCAAAAAAATTGGTCGCGGATAACTTTTGCCTACCAAAAATTAACTTTTAGCGACTAATTTTTTTGTTGCCAAAAGTGTTAATTCTTGTAGTGGTAAAAGTTTACAGTAGGGTTTGACTTCTCTCAAGTTGGTTATCTAACTTGAGAGAGCGTTTGAGTTTCGTAGGTCCATTTTGAAACTAATTTTGATGATCCGAATCGTTTATTTTTTAAGACTCGTTAAGTAAAATATTCATGTAAAATATAAAGATGATCGAATATCGATAGCTATATATTTAAATTAAATTTGTATTACAAAAAATAGATAGCTACTATTGAAATTATATTTCTCGTGCATTTTTCTAAAACAAATATGATTCAAACATATAGTTACGGATGTTTAATCATCTTGATTTTTTATATAAATATTCTCTTTAACAAATATTAAAAAATGAACGGTTACCGAAATTAGTCTCAAAATAAGCCTACTAAACTCAAATGCTCTTTCAAGTTAAAATAACAACTTGAGAAAAGCCACACCTTTTACAATAATGTCACAAAGGACATTGCGGATGGTAAAATTGACAAAGCCATGTGCACCTCAAATTTGGCCTCATTAAATAATAATATCAAGGTTCTGTTTGTTTTCAGAGATGGGGTTTGATATTGGACTATTAGTGAATTGGAACTATTAATATTATGTTTGTTTGCAAAGTGAAACTTGGGATTGGTAGTAAAAGAAAACGTTTGGAATCTCCTTTAGGAATGAACTCCACACTCCCAAAATGATCCTAACCTTCTATGTATGTGTGGGATACACATCATGAATGATCCAGATTTATAAAGGTCTCATAGGGGTCTTGAGGATGATGGTCTCAATTATTACTGTTAGTAAATTTAGACTAGCAGGAGCCTGGGAGAGGATTAGCAAAGGCCTCCAAAAGTTATTTTGTCCATGTCTATGTATGTGTTATTTATTTATTTATTTATTGGGTATTGCATCATTTATATATATATATATAACACTAAAATAATTTAATACAAAAAGCATTTATAAAATATAATCTATAATATTAAAATATATCAAAAAATATTTATGATATTTCATATAATTAATCCCCTAACTAAAATAAATATAATTTTTTTAATTCTCACATTAATAACCTCGACGCTAATAACCAAAACCAATCTAACTCTAGAAACAACTGGCGGCTTGGAGGTGAACTAAACAGTCAAACTCGATGGTCGCTCTAAAGCTTCGTGAAGTAGAATTGGTCAAATAATTGAATACTTGAATTTATTTTTCATAAAAAGTAAAAATACAGAATAATTTAATAATAATGTCAGGAAATCCAAATTTAAATCTTGAACCTATCTAAAAAATAATACATACTTTTAAAGTGGGAGCAGCTTGCCTTCCGTTCGAAATCAAATTTTCGAAATCAAATTAGACGATACTATTCAATCTATGGAGACCCATCGAAGGTTTTAATTTGATAATTCGAACCGTTCAATGTATAAAACTCGTCAAGTAATATATGTCTGTAAAAAATCACATTAATCGGATATCGATACCTATCTCATCAGATCAGTTTTTTTTCAACTGCTAATTTGTTCACAATTTATTTTTTTATGCAAAACTGATTTGATCACATAGCTATCGATATCCAATCAAAATGATTTTTTACAGGTATATAGTATTCGACGAGTTTTACACATTCACGATTTAGATTATCAAAACGGGACTCGTGGTAAACCTCCACGTGTCGAACAACACCATCTAATCCGATGTCTAAATTTATTTTAGATATCAGTCTTATCATACTATCATGCAAATAAAAACGAAAAAATCAAATTATATTATTATTTATTTTGATAACATTAAGAAAGAAATGAATAATACCATAAATTTTAAATATTTTATTAATATTTTTATCAAATATAGCATGGGATTCATATAAAATTCATATGGTGTAAATCTCATATTCATATAAATTAGGGGTATTTATATGTAGATCTTAATAAGTGGACTTATTGTCTAATAGGTCTTATAGAAAAAAATTGTCATAAAAAAATATCACTAATTATAAATTTTAGTGACAATTTATAAAAATCATGACCAAAAAAAATATTTAAAATCCTTAGGGTGTCTTTGGTAACGTTTACGTTTTCAGTTCATATTTACAAAAGTTTTATAAACTGATTTTTGTTTATTTTTAGAAAAACATAAACTACAAACACATTTAGTAATTGACAAAATGTTTAAAAAAATTTAAAAATATAAAAAAGAGTGAGAAATGACAAGTGGTGGTAAGTGGCGGCGAAAGACGGTGGTAGAAAGTGGTGACGGTGCGTGGGTGGGTGACGGTGGCGAGTGGTGGTGACGGGTGGTGAGTGGTGGGTGGTGGTGGCGGGTGGGTGGTGGCAGGTGGGTAGGTGATGGTGGCGGATGGTGGGTGGGTTAAGGTTTCAAAAGTTAACAGTGAAAGTACTTTTTGTAAGATTATAGGTGAAATATGAAAATTTAAAAATTTAATTCTGGAAAGTTCATCTAGGCAGAATATGAATGAACTTAGAAATTTTGTGGGTGCAAATAGCTGGTGATCAACACGTAAGCAAGGAAATCCAGCTCAACCTTGTGGCTCGTGTGATATAAAACCTCTCTTTCTTTCTTTAATTATTAGTACATAGAACATCTTTATCTCAACTTGTGAGTTGCGTTTATTAGATACTACCGTCGGATCCCCCACTAAAATGTTGCATGAAATCAATACATAGAACACCTCCAGCTCCACTATATGAACTTCGATTTCCCACCTAGTCCGAATCCTCAACTTGGATTTTTTGTTTTTAAATTTTAATAGCCTATTGGTGCTATTAGGAAAGTAAAATAATTGAAATAAGATAATGATCTTAAAATCGGTTAACTTAAAAAAAATATATTAAAAGTATGATTTTTTTTTTTTCTAAACTCGTTATTTCACAAAAAAATATCAAGATCGATAATAGTTGATTTTCAAAAAGATATTTAAAATTGATATATATATGTACACACATATACACTATGTGTCATTATGCTAAACATTGGTTACTGAATGCTGGGGTTGTGGGTGTTCTGTGGTGATGTTTTGTTTTTACCCACTGTAGTTATTTGTGTTCTTTTCTGTTTCTGTTTGTGGTGTTGGTTTCTTACCAACCCTTGCATTGAGCTAGCAGATGATATGGTGTTACTCTTTGTGGCAACCTTGTTGGAATGAAGGGTAGCACAATGATGCTCTTTGCTCTTTATCTTTTTTTTATTGATCTAATCCATACTTTTATATGTTGTTACTTCAATAAGGCTTATATGCTGATAAAAAAAAAATACATATACACTAATATATCACCCATGCAATGTATGAGATTAAATAATGATCAATAAATTTTTTTAAAAATTAATTCAAAACTTTTTTAAAAAATAATAATAATAATATTAAAAAAAAAGATACTTCCAAAAATAGACCATGCCTCCATAATTTAAATTTTTTTTTTTTTGTCCTTTCAAATTAAAATATGCATTATTTTACGTATTATACTTTCAAAATACTATCATCACATTGTAAAAGAAATCTTTATTTTAGAATACTATTTCTTTATCATGTTTTCAACAAAAATGTTAAAACATGAAAAGCTACCTTGAAAATATTTAAAATAAAATATATAAATCAGACTTATTTTGAGTATAATTCAAATCATTCTAATTTTAATACATTGTATACTTTATTTTTTAACAAATTATACTTGTGGTTTTTGTATGCAGTTTTAATTGTATTAATTTGGGACATTGTGATAATTTTAGTTCATTGAACATGACGAAATAGTTCGTTCAAAAAGAAATGAATATTTTTTAATCACTTTTGAAAAGAGTGAATAGATTATTTTAACCATTGATTATTAATTTAATTAAATTGACAACGAAAAATTTCAAATATAGAATTGACACAAATAGAACTACAAAGATCAAATTGAGACAATATGCAAACTGTGCTGAAAGTGTGATTTCCCCTCTATTTTTTGAACATTTTCATTGAATCTATACTATAAAATTCAGATTTTATGTTAGAAAACAAACGAAACCTTAATCATAAACTAGAAATACTACTGAAATGAGATTTTCCAAGAACGGAATACCAACACCTCCATACAAAAAGGAGAGGATCCCCTTTGTACCCTCCTCTTATTAGTCTATTGTCTGTCCGTGTGGATTTTGGGGAAATCATGTATCATGTGATGATTTACCCATCAGTCTAAGCCTGGGGACTTATTTTTTTAGTTAATTAGTCAAAAAGTTATTAAATTAGTCAAAAAGTCAACAACTCATACCAAAAAGTCAAATATTCTCTTTTCTCTCTATTTTTTACACATCTTTTCGTAATTAGTCAAAAAGTCATTCCAAACATACAAGTTTTTTTTACCTACCTTTTTAACTAAATAGTCAAAAAATTACTAAATTAACCTGTTCCCAAACGAGGCCTTAGCCAAGTTCTACGCGGGAAATGGGAAAAATAATTAGGTAATCTAGGAACATGGCAACGTCTCCATGAATTATTAAATATCAAGCCCATGTTATTGCTCCTGACCCAACACAAATCGTGAATTTCATTTCCTCCCCTAATCATAACAATTCTGAGTACCACTTGATCATACCAAAAAATCACCAAATAACCTCACACAAATGGATTACTCAAATTAATTTGTGACATTGTCAGACAATTACCCCATCAACAATCAATAATTGACCCAGAAACAAAAATAAATGTGGACCCAAAAACAAAAATCTTCTCAAGGAATTCTAATTTGTCGTTTAACAAAAAAAAAAAATTTAATTGACTTTTTAAAATGGAGACTTTTTTAGTTTAAAAGTTCCTTTAACAAATTTTTTTTTAACTTTTTAAACTTTTACGAGAGAAAATATAAAATAATTATAATTTAAACATGACATTTTATTTTATTAATTTATTTAGTTTATTTTGTCTTTTATATTTTATTTTAATCTCAACCAACTAATTAGCCAAACGAAGCCTAAACACACAGTTCATTTAGGGGTTGTTTGGGATGACCTAAATAAATATACTTTTTGTCTTTTTACGAAAAGATGTGCAAAAAAATAGAGAGGTGATGTGATGAAAAAAAGATAAAAAGATAAAAAGATAGATTATTTTGATGTTGCCAAACTTGACCTTAGCATTTCTCAAGTCCCCCCAAAAAAAAATAAATAAATAACAGTGTAATGGGTGTAGACCCACGTAAGAGACTCTTTGTTCTTTACTAATTATGAAGCAACATGTGTTTCCAGTTCCATCTGAATCACAGAGAGAGAGAGAGAGGGGTGGTAAAATTGTATGAAAAATGTTTTGGAATTCAAATTCTTAAATTCTAAATTCAATTTTAATGAGTTTGCAGTGAGTCTCATCTATTATGATGTGATGTTTTAATATTGATTTTTTTTTTCTCCTTATCATGTCATTAGTGCTCTGAATCATTATTGAAATTGTATCTAAACAACCGCAAAAAATAAATAAATAAATAAAATTAAAAACAGTGTAACGGGTGTACTAGACCCACACAAGAGACTCTTTGTCCTTTACTTGTTTAAGGACCAGCGTATGTCCATGTCTAAATGTACGGTGTAAATAATTTTAAAATTAAAATACAGTTATAATTTATACGTATTATGTTAAAATTTATAAAATTTGTGTCATTTTTTTTATGAAGATACTGAAAAAATATATTGAAATATTTTTCTTCTTAAAGAACTTGTAACAATTTTGTTTGTATTACACGCTCTACAAAATTCAAATAAAATAACAACTCCCCCTAATTTTAATGCAAATTAAGAAACAAACATATAAGATTTAAAGTTATATTGCATATCAAAAATATAAAAAGCAATAAAAAAAAATTGTAGATCTAAAAGCAAATTGAACAATTTAATTCCCAATGGAAAGCATATCAAAAATATAAAAGGCATATCAAAAATTTTAATCCAGATGATAAATTACATTTTAAGATCAAGTATTATATATCTATCTATTATTGTAGATTAATCTATTATTGTAAAATATTTACAAATGATAATATTAAATTAAAAAAAAAATCGTAAAGTAAAAGCAAATTGAACAATTTAATTCCCAATAAAAGCCAAGCAACATATTAAAGAAATAGGATACCTTTAATGGTTTAGCCAATTTTCTATGAACAATAGCTGATTAAAAATAAATAAATCAAATAGAGCGAGGAGTACAAAAGATTTAGCCGATTTTCTTATTTGTATAATCAATTTTACTCTCCAAAATTACTACATGTGAGAGAGAGATTTCATATTCAAAAAATTTAAAATGAGACCTACCAAATACCCATGAGTTTCTTAAGACTTAGCACACAGATTGCAAAGATCTATGTGTAAAATCAAATTAAGAGAGGAGCACTAAAGATCTTTGCAATTTTCTTATTTGTATAATCAATTTTACTCCCTAAAATTACGATATGTGAGAGAAAGATTTCATATTTAAAAAATATAAAATAAGACCTACCAAGTACCAATGAGCTTCTTCAGACTTAGCACACAGATTGCAAAGATTTATGTGTAAATTGTCACATATTTTAGTCAACACTATTACAATGAGCACACAACAGGGTCTAATTGCTTATTTGGAGTCTTTTGTTGTTCCAATTCTACGTGCACTGAACATATAAAACTGATCAAGAAGACTTAATCTTTCCAATTTTGGCTACTTGTATTTCAAGCATCTCATTAAATATAGCTAGCTATGAGACCTAGGATGTTTTTGAGTGGATGTTGTTTTTTCCCCTCCATTTTAGCATTGGATACTATCATGAACTAAATTTATATTAAAGAACTGGTAGTTTTGGGTCCAAAATATAAAAATACCATCTGGAGGTGGAGTGTGATCATACAAAGGGAAAACATTATGAAGTCATTAGCCAATTGCTTTTGTCTCTTAATTATGACTTAGCTTATACCTTATGGGATTGGTATTCACTAATGAAATTGATCGATTAAAGAGTTTCATTCCCTGAAGATATGTCATTTATTAAAATGTTACTTTGAACCACACACACAAAATTTGTTTAACATGCATCTATTGATACAAATAGGTATTATTTTGTACATATATTAAGACTTTCATAATATGAAAAAAGGAACTTATAATTTTAATAATTTTGTAGGAAAAATGGAATCATTCACAGTATTAATCTGTCAAAGTCCAACTGCACATTTAATAATGGCGTTAGTTCTCTTTTCAGGTGATGTCCATGTGTGAATCTCTGGTATATTTGTGGCATTTTTTAAGTGTTCATGCACATGTCCATGTGTGATGGAAATTGATCTATATATCTTGCCAGGTGATGTCTGAAATTCAGAATCCAATCCATGTGGAACTTGGTGGTGTGCTATCTAGAAAGAGAGGCATGATTTGTGAAAGTGTAGTGAATTAAATGTGAAATAAAATGCTTATCCATTGAGATTTCATTACATGACCAACAGGTGAGGCCTCAACCTTGAGGCAGAACCTTGATACAAATCTAGCAAGCTAAAATTATGTTAAAAAAAGCCTCTTATCTTAGTAAAGTCAACAACCCACCACCAAGCTAAGATATGCATATACATATATATGATCAATTACATGCACAAGATGACTACTAAAATGGAGCATATACAGTTGACAGAGGACTTGAAAAAGTGAAAAAGGAAAAATTCTAAACTATTTAAGTTTAAGTTTAAGTCTAAACAATTGAAGTTGATAAGACAAAAAAATCCAAGACACTCATTTTATATTATTTTTTTAAGAGCACTGAATTTCATTTTAAATAACAAACATAGAAAAATCAAAATTTTAAATACTGAATTTCTACACAAACAAACAAACAAACAAACAAACAAAAGCTTATTAAGTCTAAAAAATTGCGAACATTTGTGATAGTAAACAAACAAACATGTGTTTCAAGTTCGGTAGTAAAATTGTATGAAAAATGTTTTGGAATTTTAATTTTTGAGTTCTAAATTCAATTTTAATGAGTTGGTAATGAGTCTCACCTATTATGATGTGATGTTTTAGTACTGATTTTTTTTTTCTTTTTCTCCTTATCATGTTATTAGTACTCTAAATCATTATTGAAATTGTATCTAAACAACCGGAAAAAAAAAATAAAAATAAAAAATAAAAAACAGTGTAATGGGTGTAGTAGACCCACGCAAGAGACTCTTTGTCCTTTACTTATTTAAGGATATGAAACATGTGTTTCCAGTTCCATCTGAAGCAGAGAGAGAGAGAGAGGTAGTAAAATTGTATTGAAACATAAACCCATTCATGGCTGATCCAGTAGAAACCCTCCAACCACATGTACTCATCTTCCCCCTCCCAGCACAAGGCCATGTAAATTCCATGCTCAAGCTCGCCGAGCTTCTCTGCCTCTCTGACTTCCACGTCACCTTCCTCGTCTCCGACCACACCCATGATCGCCTCCTCCGTCACACAGACGTTCACAAGCGTTTCGAACACTATCCTAAATTTCGGTTCCAAACGTTTTGCGATGGAATCCCAGCAGAGAGCGCTCGATCTGGAAATGATTTTCTAACGGAGCTGATTGTTTCTTTGAAAACCGTAATAAAACTGTTTTTCAGAGAACTGCTTTTTCGCTCTAATTGTCTGAGCTCTGAGACGAATCGGCCTGTAACGTGCATGATAACAGATGGGGTATTGAGTTTCGCTATTGATATTGCTGAAGAGATGGGTATTCCCATCATTTATTTCCGAACAATCAGCGCTTGTGCCTTCTGGGCTTACTTTTGCATTCCTCAACTCATTGAAGCTGGCGAGCTTCCCTTCAAAGGTAGGTGTGCCTAATCTTCTTTTCATCAGCATATACAAGCACAAATTTCTATTTTTGAACAAAGTAAACTATTATTTTGAATGTGTATTCCATCCTAATTTGGTTTAATTCTAGCCATTCATTGCATTTTCTATGTGTGAATCTAGCATTGCACCTACCCCTGTCCTCTTATTTCTTTTTCTTTTTTTTTAATGCACATTTACACCAAAATTAATGTATAACCTGGATACAGTAATGGACTGCGGAATTTTGCAAATAAACATCAATATAAAATAAATAATACTATATGTATTAATTAATATATTAATTTATATATCAATTGATGATGTGACATAATTTAAAAAAATTTTGAGATTTGTAATATAATTAATAAGTGTGGTCAATAATGTATTAGTACACTAATTAATACACTAATTAGTACATGTAACACTACCGATATAAAATTATATCAATTTTGTTAGGCTAAAGTATGATTATATATATATATATATATTGGAGAAGTTTAAATGTTAATATTTATCAAACTAATAAGATTTGAGTACTGTTATATTTACCGAATTTGTTCCGTCTAAATTTGTCTAAATAAAACTCTTTTCGGCAAGAATTTCTCATTTTGGAAACACACGGAAGACTCGTCTTAGAAAAAGTCTTATTTGTCCGGCTGAACAAATTCAATAAATAAATTATTAATCATAAGATTTTTATGAAGTTTGAGGGGCCAAAATATTTAAAAGGCGAAAATAAAAGCAGTGGGGTAGAAACGGTCAGCATGATGGGAGTGGGGTAGAGAGGGACAGTAGTGGTAGGTGGTGGGTTGTGGGAAGGAAAAATTACTATTAAGGTGTATTGTTAAAAAATAATTACATATGTTTATAAGTTTATAAATTTAATAATCAAAATTAATAAATTTTATCATTAATTTAAATATAAAAAAAAATCATCTTTTACCGACATGACATTTCCCTTGTGGGAATGGGGGAAATGGCGAGATCGGAGGTTAGGGTAGAGGAAGTAGGTGGCATGCTCCGTGGTTCTCGAGGTCATGAATGGGAGTGGGGATGCAGAAAATTGATGTTGGGTTGTCGTGTGGTGTGGGTGTGGTTGGTGTTTCTCTCCCGTGAAGATTTACGTCTGGTTTGAAACAATAAGGATAGAGATCTTTAAATTTAAAATTTTAAAAAGAGTATTAATAACATGACACTTAATAAAAAAAAATATAATATCAAGATTAAAATATCAAATTATTTTTGATAAGATCAAATGTCACATCATTACATTAATGATACTACTAATTATTACTCTCATTGTTTAAAAATAACTTTTATTTTTAATAATTTTTTATAAAATAATATATAAAAAAATAAAAAAAAACAATATAATAATTCATAATAATTTTTTAATTAAAATATAAAATTTCCAAATGAGATGGTAGTATTTTCGAAATTTAAACAAGGCATCAATTTTCTATGCACATGGGTAACATTTCTTGGTCGCCAAACAAACTCTTACCAATAATAGTCCCAATATTTGTAGGAAACAATTTGGATGTACCAATAAAAAGCATACCGGGCATGGAAGCTTTTCTCCGGCGACGTGACCTTCCTGGTATTTGTCGTACCGATGACTTAAACAACCCGGATTTCCAGTTTGTGTCGACTGAGACCAGGCAAACAACACGAGCTCAAGCCCTCATACTCAACACATTCGAAGACCTAGAAGGACCCATACTCTCTCACATACGAATTCGCATGCCAAACGTCTACACAATTGGACCACTCCATTCACACCACAAGACAAGGCTGGCAGCAACAGCACCGCCAATGGTGGCAACCACCACGTCGAACAGTCTCTGGGAAGAAGATAGCAGCTGCATAACGTGGCTCGATGCACAACCATCACAATCTGTGATCTATGTAAGCTTCGGAAGTATTGCGACCATCACAAACCGTCAACTGATGGAGTTGTGGCATGGTTTGGTGAATAGTGGGAAGCGGTTTTTGTGGGTCATACGATCACAATTGGTCACCAGCGGAGATGGAGAGGCCCAGATTCCGGCAGAGCTGTTAGAGGCGACGAAGGAAAGGGGGTACGTGGTCGGGTGGGCCCCACAAGAAGAGGTCCTAGACCACCCGGCCGTTGGCGGGTTTTTAACTCACAGTGGGTGGAACTCGACTTTAGAGAGTATAGTTGCTGGAGTACCAATGATATGTTGGCCTTACTTTGTGGATCAACAAGTGAATAGTAGGTTTGTTGGAGAGGTGTGGAAGCTTGGGATGGATATGAAGGACACTTGTGATAGAGACATTGTTGAGAAGATGGTCAAGGATCTAATGGAGGTAAGGAAAAGTGAGTTGGTTCAATCGGCTAATCGGATGGCTGAGTTGGCTGGAAAAGCCATTGGTAAAGGGGGATCATCTTTTTGTAATTTGGACCGTCTGATCGAAGACATCAAACTGATGAGCATGCAATCACCCAAAATAACTTGAATTGTTTTCAACAAAATTTGTGTTATTCGTTATTTGAAAATAATAAAGCATCTTTATTTAGTCAACACCAAAATCTCATTGGACAAATGGATGTTTGGCAGGCATTTCTTTTACTTTTACAAAAATGTTTTAGAGTTTTAATATCGGAGTTCTAATAGTTCTAATGGGAAGGTGGGTTCCACTCTGATGTGATGTTTTTGTCTTGTTTTTTTTGTTTTTTTTTTTTTTTTTTTTTTTTTTTTTGCTTTAACACATCATTAGAGCTCTATATTTAGAGCTTTCTATCATTTCCCATATATATTGTGTATTAATTAAGTGATAAGAGTTTTACTTATTTGACATAAGTTTAAGGTTTAAATCTCTTCTTTTTATCTATATATTTTTTTTTAATTTTAAATAAAAATATAGAGACATGACAATATAAGAAACAAAGGTTTCAAGATATCATAAGAGATATTTACTTTATAGTAGTATAGATTTTTACTTTAAATTGGGCCAGTTTTATTTGGGAATTTTTCAAAAAATTTAAGATTTGATTTTAAAATCAAAAGACGATCAGATTCCGGCGGAGCTGTCAGAGTCGACAAAGGAAAGGGGGTACGTGGTCGGGCGGACCCTACAAGAAGAGGTCCTAGACCACCCTGCCGTTGGCAGGTTTTTTACTTACAGTGGATGGAAGTGGATGGAACTCGATTTTAGAGAATATAGTTGCTGGAGTGCCAATGATATGTTGGCCTTACTTTGTGGATCAACCGGTGAATAGTAGGTTTGTTGGAGAGGTATGGAAGCTTGGGATAGATATGAAGGACACTTGTGATAGGGACATTGTTGACAAGATGGTCAAGGATCTAATGGAGGTAAGGAAAAGTGAGTTGGTTCAATCAGCTAGTCGGATGCCTGAGTTGGCTGGAAAAGCCATTGGTGAAGGTAGATCATCTTATTGCAATTTGTACCGTCTAATCCAAGACGTCAAACTGATGAGCGTGCAATCACCCAAAATAGCTTAAATTGTATTCAGCAAAATTTGTGTTATTCGTTATTTTTTTACATAGGTGTGTTATTGCATATTTGAAAATAATAAAAGCATCTCTATTGAGCCAACATCAAAATGTCATTGGACATATGGTAATATTTCGTTTCATTTTTAGAAATTTGATAAAATAAATGTAAAAATAAAATAGAGAAATTTTTACATTATTTTATTGTTGGAAATGGTTAATTTTTCCTCAAGTTTGGTCTATTTTTTAGGTGGGCCCCGAGTGTCGATTTATTCGGGTCAAAGTGGTAACGCGTTCTATAAATATCTTTTTGATATTTATTTTTAATAAATTAATTTTTATTTTTTTAAAAAAAAATCTGGAAAAAATTTATTTTCCCTAAAAAGAAAAATAGTTTGACCAATACAATTATTAAATCCATGTAATTGTTTTTTCTTAGCTATTCTAGTCTTTTAATTCAGAAAGTCATGACTTTTTAATTTTGAAAAATGACTCAGAGCTCGAAACGGCTCGATTTTTTTTTTTTCCTTTTCAAGCAAAGGAGCTCTGCACAAACAGAGTGATTTGGTGGGAGGTTTTGAAAGGGTTTATAAGGCTTAGGGTGAGATACTTGGGGTGTGCCCTAAAGGGTACCCAAGTGTTTTAGAGGGAGAGGTTATGGGCAAAATAGGCTAGACCCATTGGACCCAAAAATCACCACGCGCGCGCCGCCGTCCGGGCGGGCTGGGCTTGGGCGCGTGGTGTGTGGTTGGGTTGGGCTTCTAATCTTTTTGGGCCAAAAACATTTGAATTTAATTTTATTTTTTATTAAAATAAAATCCAAACAGGGCCCTTCCCGGTTTCAAACAGAAATAAACTGTTTTGGAATTAATGCACACCCAAACAGGGCCCTTCTCGTTTTACTATCTGTTTGAATTCAAAACCCAACAGGTATGATACCTGTTCAATTCAAAACCAAGAGCTACATACCTGTTTATTTCAAATCCAAGAGCCACCTTCACATCTATTGTGGATGATCCAAACTTCCAAACTAATTTTGTTAATTTGTTAATTTTTAAAGAAATAAAAAAATATACATATTGGTTAGTTCCTTAAGTCAAAAATCCAAAAACAAAAAAGTTTTAGGAAAATGACTCAGAGCTCGAAACTGAGAGGCTCGAAACAGCTCAAATTTTTTTTTCCTTTTCAAGCAAAGGAGCTCTGCACAAACAGAGGAAAGAGGAGAGGAGAAAGAGGGAGAGAAGAGAGGAAGAAGAGAAAGAGGAGGAGGCAGCACCACCGCCGCCGATCGTCGCAGCACCACCTCCTCGCCGATCGTCGCAGTTGCAGCACCACCGCCTCGCCGATCACAGCTCGTCGCAGCACCACCGCCTCCGCCGCGCCTCCAGCGCTCCTCTGCCACTGGTTGAGGCCCCCTCCTGTCTAGTTCTCCCTTCTCCCTTCGCCCTTCCCTTCTTCTTCTTCTTCTTCTTCTTCTTCTTCTTCTTCTCCTCCCCTCTTCTTCTTCTCCCCCCTTCGTTTCTGATTGAACAAAAACATAGGAAAAAGAAAAAAAAAAAAGACACCAAAACGATGTCGTTTTGGTGTCGAACCAAATTCGAGCCAAAGAATTTCAAGCTACGTAGCACTGCCGTTTAATTTTATTATAATTCAACAATGTTTTAATTATCACATTTTTCAGAGTGTTTTAATTATCACATTTGTATGTGTATCATAATTTGTTTCTTTTTTTATGCACATAAAAAGTAGAGTCCTTTGCTCTCACAAAAAAAGTAGTATAGTCTCACTACGCCAAAATTGAATTTTAGCGGCGATTTTTTATCGTCGTTAAAAAATGTAAAATCGCTGTTAAAGTTTTTAACGACAGTAATTTAGGACCGCCATTTATACTCGTGTCAGAAAAGGTACAATCGCCGTAAAAGGGTAAATTATCGTTGTTAAAAGTCAATCAAAAATGACAGTAATATAAGACTAAAAATGACGGTTCTTTACCGCCGTAAATAGGTTCAAATTTTTAATAAAGTAATTGCACCCCGCAGGTCTCGAACCCTTGATTTCTAATCCACGCATGCCAACCACTCCACTACAGCCACTCTATATGAAATATATTTCCTAAATAAATATTTAAACATTACTTTTGCTTTATTGTAGATGGTCATGTTGAACCTCTGGCCGCGTGTGGTCACCACTCGCCAGAGCTCTGCCGGCAAAGACCGTCGTCATTAACGGCGGTAATAAGAAAGCTTTAGCGGCGGTTTCGTTACCGCCGTTAAAAGAGGGCTTTAGTGGCAATTTTTTTAACAGCGGTTTCATTACTGTCGTTAAAGATACTTTAGCGGCGGTTTTTTTAAAGGCGGTAACGAAACTGCCGTTAAAAAACATTAACGGCGGTTTCGTTACTGCCGTTAACAGTACTTTTAACGACGGTAACGAAAATCGCCATTAAAAAAATCGCAATTAATGCCCTGTTTTGGTGTAGTGTCTGTTTTCACCATAAATTTTTCAGTGGATTGTGGTCTATTAGTTATGGTCAAGCTCAATTATGATTTGTCAATTGAAATTATAAATTATTTTTAAAGAATAATTTTGCCCACATTTGTTTTTATTATTTTTGTCGACAAGTATGTTAATATGGCGTGACAAGTAAGCTAGTAACGTTGCATGGAAAAGATGATGATGTAGCTTGAAAAGATTAAATAAAGCCAATAAAAATATTTGTTAAAATCAATTAGAAATCATATGTTAAAATCGGGGGGATCAATATAAAGTCAAAGCACAAAATTTACCAGTAGTTTCTATGAAGATATGGGATATGGTTGAGTGGTGCAAAGATCAAGAAAGATCAAAGATTGATAGCTACAACATGAGGTGGCTAAGCAAGTATCAAAGAAGGACTTAAAGAATGAAAAAAGGACATTAATCAACCATCAAACACAGTTGTGCAGAGTTATTTAAGAGTAGTTCTAAATTAGCATTTTTAGGAGTAGATTAAACTAGTTGGCTTTTCTAGCTTCCACTTCTCTTCTTTCTGTCGATTGTTGTATTTCTTCAATTTTTTGTGATTGTTTAAGTTCTTGTAACTCATGACAAGTGACAACTTATTCGAATTAACACATATTCTGTTTTGTTCCATTTCCTCTTCATTTAATTACTTTCAGGGAAATCCTTAATCTGTTTAAGGCAAAGAACTTAACCACCAAGCCTGATTTTTATTTGTGTTTACTTAAAATTTATTTGAGTTTGTCAATCAAATCATTATCGATTAGGTTTAAACTAGATTTTTACCAACACAGTCCTTTAAATTAAAGTTAATATAATGAATAAAGCTATACACATCAATTGTTATATTAATTAGTATATTTAGGGAATAATGTGACATAATTTTATTAACGTTGAATTTTTGTAGTTTATAAAATAAGTAAGATCCATAATTTTGAAATTATAACGCTATAACATGTTTGCTATACTAATTAGTATAATAATTGATATGTAGCACCACTGTTATATAATGCCAATGCATTAAAAAAATGTACAATTTATAACACAAAAATGTAATATCATAATACTTATTGTAATTGAATAAACCTACACGCATCAATGGGTATGTCAATTAGTGTACTAACGGATGATTTGATATAATTTTAGAAATTTAGATTTTAGTATTTTGTATAATACATAGGGTCCATAATTTTAAAATTTTAATATTATAATATATGTTGATGCATTAATTAATATACCAATTAGTACATGTAGCACTACTGATTATAATTTTATTTGACAACCATCATTTAAGCCTCATTTAGGAAACAAGTATTTTAACCAAAAAAATCGCTATATATTAGCACATCACTCTTTTTATTTTTTTATATATCTTTTCATACAAAATTAAAAAATTATTAAAATAATCTAATCTCACACACAACCTTTAACATTTATTAGGACGCTATCTTTCGTGTTATATATTAACGTGCTGATAACAGATTAAAATAATGTTCAAAGTTCGATGTCATATAACATGTTTTTTAAAGAATAATGCTTGGACCCTTTTGGGGGTCACCCCTCACCCCCT